TGGGGTTGGGTGTAGGGTTAGGGTGGAGTTAGAGCTGGAGTTGGGTTTCAGGTTACGTTTAGGGTTAGGGTAGGTTTGTGGTTAGGGTTTGTGTTAGGGTTACAGTTAGGATTAGGGTAGGTTTGAGTTTGGGGTTTGTGTTAGGGTTGGGTTAGGGTTAGGGTTTGTGTTAGGGTTACGGTTAGGGTAAGGGTAGGTTTGTGGTTAGGGTTAGGGTTAGGGTTGGGTTAGGGTAGGTTTGTGGTTGTGGGTTGTGTGCACTTGCTTATGTTTAGTTTGCAATCAACAAAGCGGGAGCCCATCTACAATTTTTCCCATGGATGTTCTGAGTTTAGAATGAAAGTTATTAGAACTAGAATATTTTCATCATGGCTGAGGACAGACTAGTCAATAGGAAAAACTATTCCAACTGGCATTTTAGGTACAGTCGGTCAAGTGCAGTTGAGGGTTAGAAAGTCTTGCTGCCTCACCACCATCTTACCCAGCGGGTTAGCTCTACAGGAAAAACGTATTCCCAGATTTGTTTTTATAGGTTGTCCTGTTAACTATGGTAAGATTAAAATATATGTACACACACTTGCACTTGTAATCAGCACTACATGAGGCCAGGCACAGTGGCTCACACCTGTAATCCCAGCACTCGGCTAGACTGAGGGGGAGGATCCCTTGAGCTCAAGAGTTCGAGACCAGTGGGGCAATATAGCAAGACTCCATTTCTATAAAAAACAGAATAAAGGAAAGCTATTCAATCTCTCTCAAAAGGTTCAAAAGGAGTGAAATATCAGTTCTGACTCTAGTTCTGGCTCTCAGGAACACATCTCTGGGCCTCAATCTGTTCCTTTTGATAATGAAGATCTGGGCTGGGGGTGATGCCTCTGAGAGGCCAAGGCCAGAGGATCCCTTGAGCTCAGGAGTCTGAGACCAGCCTGAGCAAAAGTGAGATGCGATCTCTAAAAAGAGCTGGCATTTAGAAAGAGCAAAGAGCAAAGAGAAAGAGCAAAGAGCAAGCAGGCCATGTAGTCCCAGCTAGCCAGCAGCCTGAACCCAGGAGTTTGTGGTGGTTGTGAGCTATGATGATGCCACTGCACTCAGCACTCAGGGAAAGAGTGAGACTTTCCCTCAAAAAGAAAATATAAATAAATAAACAGGTACTACATAATTGTTAAGATATGAAGCTAGGGAATTATTCTGCACTAGAATACAGTTAAAGTGTGAACAGCTTGACATTTTCTCAGATGTATAATTCCGTTTCTTTGGGTTATTCCTTTCCCTTCTGGCACCAGACTCTAACCCTAAATACATAGCTGAACCTCCCCATTTGCCATAGATCCCCCACCACCCCCTGCCCCCGCAGGGCTGCCTTCCTGCTGACGGGAATTATATGCTCACAGTATGACGAAGGCCAGGAGAAGGGAACCATGTCACGCTGCACTTGAACTGCTACGAACACAAGGAATTGAAAGTAATTGAAGCTTCAAGACACATGTGTGTCTCACATCAAGATTCATTGTTTTTGTTTTTTATTTGACAGTGAAGTCCCATAAGAAATCCAGTTGTGGATAAGTAATAAATTGTGAGCCCAGGAAGTTTTTTAAAAGAGATTTAAATAAATCTCTTTTTAAAAAGTTCCTGTGTTGTACGAATTCTGTCCTCCTTCCTATTTTTCCAGATTTCGATAAATCAGCCTTGATTGTAAATATATCCCTGGCCTTGGAACTGCAGCCACCAACAACTGCCTTCACAATAGCTGCCTGCAAAAGAATGATTTGCTATTGACTGCTGGGTAGGGTTTCAGCTAGACCAGCAAAGCTCCATTAGTAAACGATGTGCAGCAGGGGCAGGGCGGGGGGATCGATGGGAAGTGCATAGGATTTTTAAAAGGAAACAAATAACACCGAAGACCCCCACCAATCACTCCACCCACGTGCCCCATGCAGACAACTGTCCAGTCATCCTAATCCACGGGGACATGTCAGCGTTCCTGCAGCCAGAGACTCCTCTGAGCTTTTAATTAAAAGTACCTTGTCCAAGGACACAGCAATTTAGAGCTTCATCAGCAACAGGGAGATTCCCGCAAACTGAATCTGACCAATACTGCCTTGAATACACTCAAGGAAGTCTGTAAAAGGCCTAATTTATTTATGAACCAAAGCAAAATCCCTAAATGCCAATTATTGAGTCTCTGATTGTTCACTAAGAATCTCACAAACAGGAGAAGAGGAAAATAGAACAGAAAACAAAGCAAAAAAGGATAATAAGAGAAAACCCACAACCTAGTTTTTTTCATTAAAGCATTTCATTTCCTGTACGCCTGCAAGGTAAGCAACGATGCCAGCTTGGGAGCACTATCGCTTTGTTTTTTTTTATCCCCCTCTATCAGTGTCTTGATACATCACATATCATCCAAAATGAAAAAAAAAAAAAAAGTGAAGCCACTGTTTCTTGGTTCATTTTTCACCTTGGGATTATACCTGCATTTCAATTTCCCATTAAGAATCTGTTTGTTTGATCCCTGGAAATTGAAATGTAGGCACAAGCCTTGGATGAAATATTAGTCCTCTTGCCTCTACCCTGAGCTAGTGCAGCTAGGTGAGGGCTGAAAGGGAATTTTAAGGGAGAGCTGACAGTTCATTTAACAGACACATTCTCTTCAGGTCACCTTGGAACTCTTTGTTGATCACGGCACTTGGAAATCAAGCCTGATTCTAAATCTGATAGGAGAGAGTCTGCTGAAAATTTAATACTAAAATACCTGCAAGAGTGATGGAAGAAATATTTTGGACACAGAAACATTGGTCTCCTATGTCAATGTCATCTCTGGGGAAACACCATTTAGATAAAGATTAAAATCCATTATGGGGCTTGCCCAGGTGAAAACAGATGGCCAGAGAGTCCTTAAGTGGAAATGGCGTTGGGGATCTCTCTATCCACTAACCAGTAGAAATAAGATAAAGGCCACCTCAGGGTCTCAGAGGCTTAATGGAGCAATGCCATCTAAAATTGCAACCCTTGGCTGGGTACAGTGGCTCAGGCCTTGTAATCCCAGCACTCTGGGAGACTGAGGCAGGAGGATCCCTTGAGCTCAGTACTTCAAGACCAGCCTGAGCAAGAGTGAGACCCCATGTCTACTAAAGCTAGAAAAACTAGCTGTGCACCATGGTGGGCACCTGTAGCCCCAGTTACATGGGAGGCTGAGACACGAGGATCACTTAACCCCAGGAGTTTGAGGTTGCTGTGAGCTCTGATGATACCATCGCACTCTACCCAGGGTGACAGAGTCTCAAAAAAAGAAAAAAAAATCTCCATGGGAGAAGAAACTGCTGAAGCTGACAAAAGAAATCCCCTCTCTGCTTCTGTGAGAAGCAACAGGGGTGGCTGGAGAGGTCTGTTTCTGGAAGCGGACCACTGAGTCGGGTTGCATGCTGTGTAGCCCTTGACAGGCTCTTTAACGTCTCTGAGCTCAGCTTCCTCATATATAATTTGGTCTTGTCTGTAAAAGCCCTCTGACAGCATTGCTGGGAATATCAGAAATCCCAGGAGGATAAATTACCTAGTAACTGCTTAAGAATTTCATAGCAGGAGGCCTAATAGCAGTAGTATCATACCACCTGATTTTTTTTTGATACAATGAAGAAAGAAAAAAACATATAGCTTTGATCAGCAGTCTTTCTCAGAGAATAGTAGCGTTTAAGTCTTGGCAAAATTCTCTGGCAAACCCCAAAATAAAGAATTCCATGGATGATCTGTCAGCTTAGGAGGGGAACAGCCATCCTGGCTGTTACAAGATTAGATTCCACAAAAAAAAAAAAAAAGAAAGAAAGAAAGAAAGAAAGAACAGAAAAGAAACAGGAAGTTAAATATTTACATCCTGAACCGGCACAAAGCAGGCCAGTGTTTTCTCAGCAGGCTCCTGCTCTCGCTGGAAGGAACACAAGTCCTGTTTATACTCTGTGCACGTTGACTGCAGGATAAAATGACAGATTGGGGACAGGTCAAAGGGAAAAACGTGACACAGAGAGAGCTAAATGGACTTCCGCAAGTCTCTCTGGGACATAACTTTCTTAAGGAAAACAGGACAACCCTAATTGCACCTAATCACTGTCCCATCGCGTTAAGTCGGAGCATTCAGGCAGAGATTTCCTGCAAAGTGCCCGGAGAGTGACAGGGAGCTAGGGCTGCGAGTGCGATGCACTAGCAGGGGACTGGCGGCTTCTCTCTGCTGCAAAGTGACAGATGACCCAGGCAGGCATGTCATTTCCTATTTTGTGCTTTCATTTTTCAGACCAAATTGCGCTAAACCACAAAACCATCGTGTGTCCCATGATCGATGTCATTGACCACAATCACTTTGGGTACGAGGCACAAGCGGGGGACGCCATGCGCGGAGCCTTCGACTGGGAGATGTACTACAAGAGAATTCCTATCCCCCCGGAGCTGCGGCGCGCGGACCCCAGCGACCCTTTTGAGTGAGTAGCGCTGGGGGCGGGCGCGGAGCCCCAGGAGGCAGGTGGCTCGTCCCGCTGTGTCAGCCTGGGCTGCCCCCATGAGAAAATTATCTCTAGTGAAAATAGGATAACAGGTGGCAACAGGGTGAGAAAATTGGGAAAACACACCGTCATTAGCAGAGGAAACGGGATCGGATGCCGGTCTCCCTTCCAGAAGCTTCCTCCGTACCTTCGCTCTCTTTAATTTTTCCTTTGAGGCATATTAACATTAACTCTTTTATTTTCCTTTTACTGGTGATTGATACAGAACACAAACCAGCCCTTCTACCTGCGCCCCTGATGGAAGGCAGGGGTTCCCCTAAGTTCAACTTGGGGAGCTCAGTACAAATGACCCATCCTGTGGAGACAATCTTTGATAGCCCGGCCTCTAATTTAAGTGCATTCTCTATAGAGAAGGTATAATGCTCATCTGTTGACTAATTTCTCCCAAACTAAATCCTTTTCTTCTCAATGTGGACATGAGAATTGTGCATTGCAAGGAACAGAGAAGAAAAAGAAAGGAGTATGGTTCGGGCGGATAAGCTATCAGGAGTTCTACGGGGAATGGATGCCAAACTTTTCCCAGCAGTTAGACTAGAATAGAGATTTTCAACTGCTGTGCTGTGAGAAGATAGACAATATTAAGTGTGCTGCGAAGATTTTGAGAGATCAGTAATTAAATTATATTTGAAAGAAGTTCAAAACACAGTAGGTATTCTCTCTCTCTCTCTCTCTCTCTCTCTCTCGATAAACATTTTAATTTGCCATGGAAGTTTACCTATAAGTTCAAGTGTGCCATGAGATTTTTAAAAAGTTGAAAAAACACTGGTCTAGACATTGCCCAAAGCATACTATTATCCATTCCTCATACAATGCCCTTTGATCTCATTAAAACCTTTATAACTTTAAGACTATATGGTATATATATATTTTTCTTATTACAAGGAAAACATTTGTGATCAAGGCTTTTTAAACTCTATAATATAGAGTCTATTTAAAAGCATTAAAATAATATTGTCTTTTCATCAATAATATCAGCCATACAAAAATGTAATGGAGAAGTTAGTGAGTCCCCAAACCACCTCTGTGCCACTGACAGTTCAAATTACAGCAAACATGTCATAACGCTCAGGAGAATGTTTCTTTGGATTCTAGTCTCTGGAAAACTGAACTCCCAGGGAAGCAAAAGGGGTTGATGAATTAGCTTGATAAAATGGGAAAGCCTTGTTTCTCTTGCAAAAGGAAGCACCTTCATTCCATACCCAGAACTTTCCTGGAGGTATGGCCTCTTTGGACCCTCAACTTATCAGAGAGTTTTTAAAAATAAAATAAAATAACATGCCTCTGTTACTTGCCCCAAATCCTTTGGCCAAAATTTCATAGATATTCAAAACGACCAGAAAATTTTTTTAGGGATCTCAGTGAAGGAGTTTCTAATAAGCATTTGGAGGGGGTCCCAGGTGAGAGACCCTCTTCAGACCTCCCTGAAGGGTAACTTTTGCACATCCTCGTGACAAAAGGATTTTGTCCCTTAAGCTGGGACAAATAACCAGCATTCAAGAGGACACTCCCATTAACCACCTCGACTTAGCCATTCCGTGAATATCTTAAAGATGTGCCGCACAAATAGATATGATGCATTTGTATTTGTTGATTTTAAAAATAGCTAAGCAGAAAAGAGAATAAAACAAAATAAAAGTTTCAAATGGTAAAAATAAAAAAATATGTAGGGAGTAGGGAATGCAAAGATTCCTCAGTGACCAGGACAGCTGTCCAGAGCTGTCCAGCTGCCCACAGGGTGGAAGGGTCACAGTGTGGCCTCTGCTATCTCAGGTTACTGTTTTTAGGGCTCAAATTCACCCACAATGGCTTTCCAAATACTGCAATCGTGACAATGATAATCACCTTTTATGTTATTTCTGCTGGGACAGCAAAGTGGTGGGCTTTCTGGGATCAAACTCTGCCAAAGGAATCTCCAATAGTGAACATTTCAAAACTGTCCTTCCTGCCTGCACTGACAGTGGAAAATTTTGTCAGGCAGAACTTGGCTGTGGCTGTCTCGACATCCAGCACCTTGCTCATTAACCCCTGGCAACTCTCAAAACCAGATCACATCCTGTTCCGTCACCTACTCGGGTCACACCATCCAGGCAGATTGCCTTCCTCTGGGCATGTGGCTGACTTACTGCTTTAGATCCCTTTGGTTCTTGGGAATGCAGACATTGGAGCCTTTTAGAATAAATGTCCCATCTTAAAAACTGCATCTGCCTTCCTGATAATAAAAGAACGGTTCCCCAAACAGCTATGAGTGGTGCATCAGCAATCCCACTATGGAGCAGTCACCTGCATCTGCTTGTCAAGAGACACACTTTGGGCTAAAAATGTGTGCTTTCCTAGATGTGATGCGTAAGACACACAGTGCATGCACCCTCTACAGATCGCTCTCTTTTAGTCTTTTATGTGTCGAGAGGCTGCTCCCAAAGTGTATGGTTTTCTGTGGGAAGGGAAGGGAAAAAGAGGTCTGAAAAAAAACAGGGAGAATGGGCAGTGCCTATGGCTCAAGGGGTAGGGCTCCGGCCCCATATACTGGAGGTGGTGGGTTCAAACCCAGCCCTGGCCAAAAAAAAAAAAAAAAAATAGGAAGAAAAGAATAAGAGACATACTGTATAAATATACTGCAAATCCCAAGCCTTTCTGCAGAACGCACATGCAAAAATTACCCTTCTGTTGCAAGTTTGCCAGATGTGTTCTGTGAGAAGATCTGGATTCTCTCATTTGTTCTGCTGTTAATCCGAGTTTTTCGGTGACTATTGATTAAAGCAGTGCTTTTCAGCCTGAAAATCATGTGACATTAATGAGGCCTGGACAGTATTTTTCATTGCTCATGAATTGAATCAAATTGAAAATTTCAGAGTATTTTATCAGTGGGGTAGCTATACTCAACTCAAATACTCAATTTCAGTTATAAGGCTATGTAGAGGTTCCTGGGTGCTGGTATAACCATATCTCTTAGTACAGACTACACAGGAGTTCAGTATCTACCAACTTCCTGAACTAAGAGTGATGACCTTCGACAGTCTGAGTTAGGAAAGAAAGGTCTTCATTCATTCATTCGTTCATGCAGATTTCAAATCGCAGGTGTGTAATCAATAATCTGCTAGGACTCAAATCGATGTTTTCTTTAATTCATTCAAGCTTTAGAGCCTGGGTTAATCAATAATTTCCTCTTCCTCTCCCTTAGAAGAGAAGTTTAGGCAGCCATTAAGTGAAGTAGGTTTGTCAATGAACGTTTCATAGCGAGTCCTCAGTGAGAGCAGAAAGGAGAACAGATGGGCTTGTTGCCTGGTTCCCTGTCCTGTGTTCTCACCCCTTAGACCAAACTCTGAGTGGATAGGTTGAAAATGTCAGCTTTCAGTTACTCACTAATGAAGGGTAAATGTCAACAATGCCGGCTTCTGGTCTGTTTATAACAAGATCTGATTCAATATTTGACAACTGCAAAAGGACAAAATGTTTAGGGGAGAAATGCTGTCAAACTTCTAAATAGTGTCCCAGCTTGCAAAGAGTGAAGCTAAAGGAGCAGAAATGACTCAGGTGACTAAACAACTCGGAATAAAATCAATCCCCCTTGAAAGCTCAGAATGAACCACCACCACCTCCCACACACACACTGGGGTTTTCTTTTTAATGTAAAATAAGATGCTGTAAGGTGGACTGAGATGCTCCCTAGCATGTGTCTGTTTCCCAGCTCTCCTGCTGAAGGCCCTCCCCAGCCTTGGCTCTTGGGGTTCCAGGGACGGGGATGGGACGGGGACGCCCTGGGCCTGCAGTCGCCTGAGGAAATCATACTTGCTGGGGAGATACTCAGTATGGGGTTCCCGACAATCTCTTTTCCCTTGTGGGCTCTGAAATAACCATTTAATTCCTGAATTACTAGTCACTGCAGCTATTCTGGTGGTGGCTCCCTGCTTAGTTAGCTTGTCCCAGGTGCTTGAGATCTGTGAGTTCTGGGGGTGCTCATGCCCCCCTTTCTCTGGTTTCCATGTGTTTTGACTTCAGACTTTCTTTTTTCTGTCACTGTTACCTTTAAGGTACATTCAATGACAAGAGGCCTATGCTAGGTAACCTATTTATTATTATTATAATTGGTTTTGAGACAGATTCTCACTCAGTTACCCTGGGTAGAGTGCTATGGCTGCAGCCTCACTCACAGCAACCTCAAACTCCAGGGCCCAAGCAACCGTCCTGTCTCAGCCTCCCAAGTAGCTGGGATTACAGGCACCTGCCACCACACCTGTCTAGTTTTTCTACTTTTAGTAGAGATGGGGCCTCATTCTTGCTCAGGCTGGTCTCATACTCCTGAGCTCAAGGGATCTTCCCACTTCAGCCTTCCAGAGTCCTGGGGGTACAGGTGTGAACCACCACACCTGGCCCTATATATGCTATTTTGAAAGGAGATGAGATCTCAGCCTCCCCACTGAAAGAGGCATCCACTCCCCAGCTCCCTAGGGTCCAGTTGTAGAGAAAGATAAAGGAAGTCTGCTTATGCACACTCGAGTTGGAACAGGATATTTACAGCCTGCCCCATACACTAGAATCATCATCTATGAAGTGATTTCTATTACTATGGAAAGTTAAACTTTAATTCTTAGAGCAGTGTTAAGCCAAGGAAAGTTACTCAGCAAGCTTGTGCTCATTACTCTTTTAAATATGTGGGATTGGTGAGAGAGGTTGGCTGTGCACAGGACAGGAGGAACATAGCCTGACCTGCTGCTGGTGTTCTGGGAGGTGCAGACCCCACTTTTCTCCTGCTACTCTCAGCTCTCCCCCTGCTTGGTGTTTGCACCTGCTTCCTCTTTTCTAGCTTGTGATGTGACTACCTACATACAAGTAAAAGGTAATGATGCAAACTGGAGCTATTTATTAATCAGAATCGAGCATTCTTTTCAGAAAAGAAGATATATTAGATATATTAAATAAAT